ATATATATATATATATATATATATATATACTATATATATATATATATATATATATATATATATATATATATATATATATAGTTAGTATAGTATATATATATATATATATATATATATATATATATATATATATATATATATATATATATATATATATATATATATATATATAGTTAGTATTATATATATATATATAGTTAGTATATATATATATATATAGTTAGTATATATATATATATATATATATATATATATATATATATATATATATATATATATATATATAGTTAGTATATATATATATATATATATATATATATATATATATATATATAGTTAGTATATATATATATATATAGTTAGTATATATATATATATATATATATATATATATATATATATATATATATATATATATATATATATATATATATATATATATATATATATATATATATATATATATATATAGTTAGTTAGTTAGTTAGTTATCGGCTCACATGAAGTAACCCATTTGAGGATAAGCCACTGTAGCAACTATGCAAGAGGTTGTCCAGCCAATTCTTGACTCTGTATTTAATGTATTTTTGAATAGTGAGTTCTAACAGTTCATGATTCTGTTAGTGAAGAAATTGCTTCGCAGTGTGCTGTTACGGACTAATTCTTTGCTCAGTTGTCGTCTACAACCAGCTCTTGGCTCTCTTGTGATTGTTGGTACATACCATTTCACTTTGTGGATTCCTTTTAATATTTTAAATTGTTGAATGAGGTCACCCTGTTGTCGATGCAAAGTAAGACTAGTTAGGTTGAGTTTGATTAGCCTTTCTTCATAGCTATGGATCTCGCAATGTAAACATATTTTTTAACAAGAAATTTATTTGCAATCAATGCGGCTTTATTGACTTGTTTTTCTGGCTTAAGATCTTGACTTATTGTGACTCCAAGGTCTATTTCTATCATCATTGTTGTTAGATCTCTTTTTGCGCCTGATTGTAGATCTAGCATAGTGTCATGTCGCTGATTTGTTTGTTCATCCAATGTGCATCATTTTCAATTTACTAAGATTTAGTTGCATTAACCAAGTGCAGCACTAATCACCTATCTTGTTGATGTCATCTTGCAGGCTTTTAGTGTCAAGCTCTTTGTTTCCTGGCCGGATTGGTGTTATTAATTTAGTGTCGTCTGCAAACATTTTGCAGCAAGAGTTAATGTTGTCTGGGAGGTCGTTAATGAAGATGGCAAATAGAATTGGTCCTTGCATAGATTCTTGGACAACACCGCTAGACACTAATGCCCATCCTGATGTTGTGTCGCTTAGAACGACTTGCTGTCATCAATTTGTTAAAAATGAGTGAATCCATGCAAGCAGTTGACCTGTTATTCCATATTTGCTCAGTTTTTCAATAAGGCTCGCATTCTGTACTAAATCAAATGCATGTGAAAAGTCAAGAAATACGATATTTAGTGGTATTTTTTTGGCCATATATAAATATATGTATTTGCTTATGATGAGTATTATTAGTTTTTTATATATTATTGTTAATGAATTCAATTTATATAACAATTTTACTAGCAATGATCAAACAGTTTGTATCTGATGTTTATTGGAAAGACGTTGAGTATCTAATAATAGACACACCACCAGGTAAAATAAAATTAAAATCTTTTATTATCTGACAATAATTTGAAATCTGTTTTTAAAATTATGATATGGATTATATAAATTATTTATGTATATGTCAAAAGTATATATTTTTCACAGGTACTTCAGATGAGCATATCACTACTGTTGAATGTCTGCAGTCACTGCATCCAGATGGTGCTATTCTTGTTACCACACCACAAGTATATATTTTTTATATTTCAAGCATTTTCAAGTTCAACATGCTGCACCATATTATTAAGCACTTGATTTTAAGCTTACGCATTTTCTCAATGCGCAAGTCATATAATCATACTTTTATATTCTTATAAAATTTAATAATTCTTTTAAGAATTTTATGTAGTTTTCTAAAAGTAGTAAATTCATGTAATTTCTTGTCTCAGTGGATTAACATTAAATTTTTCTTAATAAAAAATATTTTTTATTAAGAAAAATTGTCAATACACTATTTTTAGAAATATTATATTATAATAACCTCTTAAAAAACTATTATTAGATTTTTTTTTTTTGACAATTCCTTTTAATTAGGGAATATTATAATAGACAATGTATATAACAATATACAAATTTATATAATAAAATAATAATATACAAAATGTATATATTAATATACAAAGGATATTGGGTCCCAAAAAAATATTTTTACATGTGCAATTACTACTTTGAAAAGCAATTTTAACAACATGAATTTGAGAGACGCATTTCATTTTTATTTTTCTGCTATTCCCAGTAGATTTCTACAGTAAAAATAAAAATTCAATATGTTTTCGCTTTTTGTTGTCTAGAAATCACAGTTCAAAACCGCTAAATTTGAAATTTTAAACATACTTTGAGCATTATTATCTTCTGAAGCCTTGCACATAAATTCTTTAATAGTTTTTGAAAGCCACTAAGACATACATTGATTTTATGCAAAAAATAATCATGTGCATGAAAAAGTTAAACTAATTTTTTTTTTTTTTTTAATTTATTTACCTCCCCAAGGCCCGAGGGGGCCACTCCAGTCGAGGAGGCTACTCTTTTTTTTTTTTTTTTTTTTTTTTTTTTTGTAAATTGTCGTACAACCCTCTCTCAACTCTTTAACTCTGAAACACGAACCTTGACAAGCAAGACCGCTGCGCGGAGAAATTAAGTTGAGCGCGGTACTTCCAGGGAGGTGGTGGGAGTCGAACTCCGAACCGCTCGCTTACAAAGCAAGCGCTCTTACCACTACACCACTACCGCATTTGTGAAATATGACATTCCATACTTCAGTTGAAATTGTTAGGCCCTTTAGTTCAATATGCAAAAATTATACTGCACCAACAGTTTCCAAAAAACTAAGTGTCGATAGAAGTGTTAATACTCAGTTTTTGCACACTTTGTTTGTGCTGAATCATTTTTCAAAAATGAATCACTAGAAGAACATATGTTATTAGAAAACCACAATTTTTATCAGAAAATAAATTTCTATCAGAAAAATTTTCTGTGAAGAAATTTATGGTAAATTTATGAATAGCTCATAAATATAAAATTTATAAGCTATCAGCAAAATAAAAATCTCAAGTTCTTCTGATTCTGTCATTAAAGAAAGAATTGAAAACTTCACAAACATCGCCGGATGGGCATTACCAAGAAAAAAGTGTTCAGATATTCTTCAAAGCAAAAAACATTGTTAATGCAGATGTTTATGGCTCGAGAAGAATGTGGAAAGAAAATGAATCCAGAGCAGGTTCACCAGCTCATGAAATCACTCACTCAGGACAAAGTTAAAGCCAATTAAATATGTGACAACTCAACAAGTTCAATCATTCATTACTCTAGGCAAGTAAATTAACTTGTATATTTACTAATAACCAAAGTTTGCATTTAAACTATATTAAATAGGGCTTTATTATTTTCTCGGGACTAAAAAAAAAAAATTGCGGTTTCCTTCATGTTTTGAGTAGATAAACAAAAGTTTTTTTAGAAAGATAAACAAAAAAGAGCAGAAAAGCTGGTAACTATTTTTGTGAAAAGTTTAATCTAACTGATGACAGGATTGATGCATCTGATGATGCAAAATATGCAACTCAAAGTAATGATGATGATTTAAGCAACAGTATTCTGCTAATAGCAAAGGAGTTAGCTGCTGATATTCAAATGATATAAAATATTCTACTGCACCTGGAGAGTTTTCAAATGGCCAACCAAGGAAAATTTCCTCCAATATTCATTTTTTAATGTTGTTTGAATGATTGATGCACCAATACCAACTAATCAAAGAGGGGGACTGTTCTCTCTTAAAAGGAAAGAGGGGGAAAGTTCTCTTTTAAAAGATGACATTGACAACATGCAAATTTCTTAAAAATGTTCTTAAAAGTGTTTTTTTTTTTATTGAAAAAAACATTCATCTTAAGTTTATATCATTGTTTTTTATAATAATAATTTTTTATTAAAAAAATGTATATCAAAGATCGTTTTAACAACAAACACTTCAAAGTGTTTGATATTTTTTTTCTCATTGAAAAAATAATTTTCATCAAGCATTCTTGCATAGTTCTGTTATAAAAATTGTCTTTTTAATTAACCATGATTTAAAGTAGATTTTTTTAAAGATATTGTAAGATTCATGTATAAGGAAACCAAATAACTTATACATTTTACGGCAGGCTTTGCCTAAATTTGCCAAAAAAAATTTTGATAACACTATGTAAAAACGTTTTATTTTTGTTTTGTCCTTGGGTTTCCTAGCCCATTTGTAACCCATTTTGCCAAAAACAAATAGAAATTCTTTCTAGATTAATTATATTTGTACCAAGATTTATATCAAGTAAATTAAAAATGGCAAAACAAATGTCTTATTTAAATTCTAAATAAAGTAATTAAAATAAAAACAGCAAAACAAACTTTTTTTTTTAAATTCTGAACAAATTATTATAAAAAACACTACAAAAAAACAAACATTTTTGTCAGTTTCTAAATAAATAAAAAAAAAAACAATAAAAAATTATTCACATTTTTAATAGAATGATATAAATAAAAATTTAAATAAAAATTATTGTTTTATTAATTCTAAAAAAAATATTTAAAATAAAATCAGCAAAACTTTCATTTATTTTTCAAATTTTAAAGCAAAAATTTGAAAAATAATCAGAGGGTTGTGTTATTATTAATACCCTATTAATTAATACCAATAATTATTATTATACCCTGTATTAGGTGTTAGATAAAATTCTTGCCTTTAAATTTATATAAATAGTTATACGCACTATGTCACAGGTTAGTACAGGGGAGAAAAGAAAGCCATTGAGTTTGCTGTTCCGTAAATTTGACAACAATCAATGAACAACATGCAACATGCATTGTTTATCTCAATCATGAAAGTGCCTTAAATTTTTTATCCAGGTATTCCTTCATTGATTGGCCTAATACTGCACAGTCTTAGCTGTCTGTACCCACTTCCCTAAGAGGGTTCAGTCATCTTCAGGAGAAAGCATCAGAGATAAAAGTTCAGTTTGCATGTGTGGTTAAGGAAAATTTTTTAACTAGAAAGCCATAGTTTTCAAACCATAAAGGCATCAACAATCTAATCAGAGACATAGGTTCTACCGAGTCAAATGCTGAGCTTTTGATATCCAGGCTCAAACAGTAGATTGAAACACTTTTATTGCAGCTGTTTATGGTTACACTGGTAATCACAAGGCTGAAAAATATGCGGAGTTGGTTTAGATTTTTTTTTTTTTTTTTAAACATCTTCACTTCCAACAAGGCTGCAAGCAACCACTATAAGAGTTGGAAGTTACTGGAAGAGAAAAGACTAAATCTGTAGAGCAAGATGACGATTGACTGATGACTTAAAAGATTGCAAATTATAAGAATCAGGAAAGCAAGATGAAGGAAGCGAATTCCAAAGAACTGATGTTCGAGGAAAAAAACTAGAAGAATAAGAGTTTTTGAAGCACTTAGGAACAGTCACAGAAAAAGGATGAGACTTAATTGAATGGCGAGTAACACGAGAATGAATTTTAGTAGATGGCACAAAGGACGCTAGCTCTTTAGAGCAGTGCCCATTATAGTATTTGTAGAAAAGAGAAAGAGAAGCAACATTACGACGATGTGACAAAGGTTGGAGATTGGCTGCCAGAGCAGGTCCAACTATGTTTACAATTCGTTTTTGCACCTTGTCTAAAAGAGAAAGAGCATCATTAGAAGATCCGCCCCAGATGTGGCAACAGTATTCCATACAGGGACGGATTTGAGATTTATAGAGATAGAGAATAGAATCTGGAGTAAGAAAGTGTCGAGCTCGATAAAGAGATGCAACCTTAGCAGATGCTAATTTTGCAATGGATTTGATATACGGTTAAAAAGAAAGATCAGAAGTAAGAGTTAATCCTAGAAGATGAATGGTAGATGACTCATCTAGTACATTACCATTCATAAATATAGGAAGATCTAAATTATTACGATAACGATTGGCCGAATAAAATTGAGTTTTATCTGAATTAAAGTTCACCAGCCACTGCGAGCCCCATGCTGTAGCAGAAGTGAGATCCTTTTCAAGCTCAGATACCCCCTCCAAGCAATCAGAGAGTGTAGGCTTCTTATCATGACAAGAGTAAATGGTAGTGTCGTCAGCGAATAATGCCACCTTAGATGTGAGAATATCTGGAAGATCGTTAATGTAAATTAAAAAGAGTATAGGGCCAAGGATTGAACCTTGAGGAACCCCTGAAGTTACAGGATGTGAAGAAGAGTGTTGTCCATCGAGGACAACTTTTATACTACGATTGGAAAGAAAGGACTCAATAATCTTAAAGATGTTACCAGCTACACCATAAGAAGAAAGCTGATGGAGAAGACCAGCATGCCAAACTTTATCAAAAGCTTTAGAAATGTCAAGTGCGATAGCCTTAACCTCTCCACCTCTATCTAATGCACGGTAAAACCTATCGGTTATTACTGTTAGCACATCAGCTGTAGAACGAGAAGACCGAAATCCATATTGATGATCAGAAAGTAAGTTATTTGATTCAAGATGAGAGATTAAGTGTTTGTTGATTAAAGATTCAAAAACCTTGCTTATGACAGGAAGAAAACTAATGGGACGGTAGTTAGATGAATCAGATCGCTCTCCAGAATTTTTGAAAATAGGGATAACAGATGCTGCTTTCCAGCATGATGGAAAACAAGACTCTGATAAGCACTTGTTAAATAGTTTTGAAAGTATGGATGAAAGCTCCGGAGAACACCTCTGCAAGACTACAACAGGAATGTTGTCAGGACCACAAGCTGTTGAAGAGTCTAAGCAGGAAATTACTTTAGATACAGAAGCTGAAGTGATGCGAATGTCAAGCAAGGGATCAACCTGTTTGACGGCTATGTCAGGTAAAACGCAACTAGTGGAATCAAGAGATGATATTGATGAAAAGTTCTTAGCAAACAATTCAGCTTTGTCTTTAGGTGAGGTGACAAAGTCTGAACCATACAAGAGAGAAGGAATAACAGATTTGCCCTTATTATTGATACTGTTAAAGATTCTCCAGAAGTCTCGAGAGCCTAATTTTTGTGATGAGATACGAGATTTAATGACCTGAGAATAGCGAGCTTTGGCGTCAGACAAAACCTTTTTACAATGGTTTCTGGCGATAGTGAACAGATGTCTGTTTTCTGGAGAATTGTTTTGCTGATAGATATGGAAGTAACGGTTTCGATTAGAAATTGCTGCAGCGCAATGTGAGGAAAACCAAGGAGAAGAGTGAGGCTTGACCTGGAATCGTCGAGAGGGAATAAAAGATTCCATGCCAGCCTGAATCCACGAAGTTATGTAAGAAGCACATTTGTCAGCAGGAAGATGAAAGATTTCTACCCAAGGGCCATCACGAAGAAAATCACGGAAAGAGTCCCAGTCAGCTTTAAGGTAGTTGTATGTGGTACGATGATAGGGGGATTCTGATGAAGTAGAAGAGTTTGATAATAGTTTTAGAGAGATCAAACCGTGATCAGAAGTACCTAAGGGTGAATGTGGAGAGATTGAGCACTGACTAGGATCCAAAACAAGACATAAGTCGAGTAGAGAAGGTAAATGATTAGGGTTGTCTGGAAAACGAGTTGGAAAGTTGACTATTTGAGTTAGAGATTGAGAAAGGCAAAAGTTGAGGGCCTTAACGCCAGCAGAGTCACTGACACTAGAGCCAAGCCAATCGGTGTGATGGGCATTAAAGTCACCAACAACGACGATATTGGCCGATGGATAAAGAGAGAGGGCTTGGTCAATTCGATCATAAATAGCATCAAGAATAGTGCAATCTTGGGATGAAGGAGAGCGATATAGAACAAAGAGAAAGGCGATAGAGTGAAGTTGTGCTAAACGAAAGCACATAAATGAAAGCACATAAATGTAGATGCCCAGGCCAAGCATGTGATTATTGGAGTCTTTACGAATTAAAGGAAGATAACCATCAACACTAAGATCACAAGATGGGACAGCCGAACTCAAATTAGTCTCACAAAGAGCAAGTAGGTCTGGTGAACTTTGCAAGAGATAAGATCCAACAGAAGAAAAGTTACTTCGAAGACCACGAATATTAGTAAATGATAGGTTTAGAGAACTTGGTGATGACGATGGTTTTTTGTGTTTTTTAGTTTTAGGTACTTTAGTCATTTTGAATTTATAAAGAACTTGACTCAAGTATAGATAGTACTCAGTACACTATTTAACAACTAAGCAATAGCCTTATTACTATTAATAAACCCTAAGCCGTAACAAAGGGCTCCAAATGTGGCCTCTGCAATGCACACCAAAAGTACAAACAGGGACACCATCCATGCGCAACATGGCACTGTTAATACTCTGATATTTTTCGGCTGTTGATGGAATCAGCCTCTCTGAGAGCTACCACAGAGTTCGGGAAACCTGACTACCAGCCGGCCTCAGAACCATAAAACTGAGTTTTAGAGCTGTACCCTCATTAGGAGATAATAGAATGAGTTGCCCAGTCGTAAAAATAGAGACACAAGCAATACCCACGCATTGAGTCAAGAAGATCCAGCGTTCAACATCCTAAACTGGAAACAATGTATTAAAAATACATCTGCGCCAGCCTAATAGATGAGGAAGGGGTGCGAGGCTGGTCAACAGATAGAATCTGTTTTATGATGAATTATTACAAAATGAGATATAAAATGTCACTTTAAAGTTGATATCTTTCAAGCTTATCTCTATAAAAATCAAGGAACACATAGAAACTCAGAGGACCATTTTTATCATCATGTATGGGACTTTTGATATAATGTTATCAAGAACAGTATAACGAAAACATAATGGGTAACTAATTTGGGTGCTATTTCCTGAAAGTGATTCACAATACACTCACAAATCTATAAAATCTACTTGTTTCTGAAGTTTTTTGATTTTTTACTGTTTTGGTGTATATAAAAAAAAGGATTTTTTTTTTCTCTTTTTTTATGCTTCATCAATTAAAATTTTTGTTTAATGTAGTTGTTTTTGTAAGTATAATAATTTTGAGATATAACAGACTGATTTTCCCTTAGCATCACCAAGTCCTCTCCCATACAGTAAATTAAATGAATTTTTATTTTTTTGTTTTGGTTCAAAAAGAAAAGACATTATTATGAATATTTTTGCTGATACTTAAAACAAAGTTTAATATAAAATTAAATTAATAATATTAAATTAAATATGTTTTTTGTTTAATAATAGAATGTGGCAACTGCTGATGTTCGTAGAGAGATAACATTTTGTCGAAAAACTGGAATAAAAATTATTGGCATTGTTGAAAATATGAGTGGCTTTGTGTGTCCAACATGTTCGGTATAAATTTATTAAATTGAAGTTGTTGGAATATATAAATTATTATTTCCATTTATATGTGAAATCATAATTCATAGTTCCAGAACATAGGTGACAGTTTAGTATCCTTCAAGTTGGCATAAATCATAAATCCTTATTTAATTTTTTATTTCAATAATGCCCTATATTTTTTGTGATTTAGTTTAGTTAACCACCTTTTTTAAATGGCATATATATATATATATATATATATATATATATATATATATATATATATATATATATATATATATATATATATATATATATATATATAATCAACTTTTATATATATATACATGTATTATAAAAAAAAAAAATTATATATATATATTATAAAAAAATTTTTTGATTATGTCTGATGGTACCCCTAATGGTGTTCTATATGCTAAATTGAAAAAATTTTGAATAAAAAAATTTTTAGGGGTAAATTTTTAAAAAATTTCACTTTTTTTGGGGGTTGCCCAAGACCCTTAAACATCAGACGGGTCCCTAATTTTTTGAAAAATAAAGTTCTTTAAAAGCATATCATAACTCAAAAGAAGTGAACTTTTATAAAAATGTCAAAAATATAATTTTTTTTTTTAAATTTAATTTTTTTAAAATTTTAATTTTTTTGAAAATTATTTTACATAAGATTACTAGTTTAGATTTTATTGCTTAAAATTTTTTTGTTAAAAATCTTTTCTTAACAAAAAATAAAAAAGTACATATTTTCATAGTCTTTTAAATAAACTTTTTTAATTTGTTTTCATAAATTTTTTAAATTATTTTTGAAATTTTTATAAAATTTCACTTTTTTTGAGACCCAACATGATATGTTTAAGGGAAACATCAGACAGGTCCCTAATATATTGAAAGTTCTTTAAAAGCATATTATATATATATATATATATATATATATATATATATATATATATATATATATATATATATATATATATATATATATATATATATATATATATATATAACAAAATAAACAATAAACAAAATATTTTATTTTGTTTATTGTTTATTTAATGTTATGGGCTTTAGTGCCCGCAGGGTCAGTGGTGTTAGAGCCAAGACATTTGGTGTGATGAGCATTAAAGTCACCAATTAGAACAATATTAGCAGAGTGGTATACCCCAAAGCCAAATATATGACTATTGGAGTTTTTGCCAATCAAAGGATAGTAACGATCAATACTATCAATGATCAATACTATAGTAATGAAATCTGAAGAAGGAACAGCCGAATTTAAATTAGTCTCACAAAGAGCAAGCAAGTCTGGTGAATTTTGAAAGTGGTAATATTAAACTGATGGAAAGTTACTTTGAAGATCACAAATGTTTGTAAAAGATGGAAACAGTTTGGTAGTGGGGATGGTTTTTTTATGCTTAACATTTTTGGTTGCTTCAGGCATGATACAAGTTTAAAGAGAACTTGACTCTTTCATAGATAGAGCATCCCAAGCAATGAGTTTAGCACTTGTCTAAGTTCTGATAATTAAAAAGCTAATTAAGTCATAACATAGGGCTACATGTGGCCTCAACAATGCATAGCAAAAGAATTAAAAATCCATGCACAACATGGTTCTGTTAAATCTCTGATATTTTACAGCTGTTGAGGTTTTACAGAGGTTTAGACAGAACAAAATGTTCATATGCAATAAATGGTGAGCTAAAACAGTAACTAAGACACCTCCAACTATATAGAAGACAAAAATATATATATCACTATATAGAAGACAAAAATATATATATAACTATATAGAAGACAAAAATATATATATCACTATAGGCATGAAAGATAATATTATTGATGACAAGAAGTACACTTTTTCTAGTCTTTACTTAGAAAGTGAATCCTGCGAGGCAGTAGGACATGGACCAGGTTGCACTGGATTACATGTTACCAGTAGCAGGGTGATGATGATGATAAAATGCCTGGCCTGATAATTGTGCAATACTATCTATATAATAATACAAATATACAATACTTATTATATAAACACTCATGTGAAATGGAAATGTCATGTGACAAGTTTTTGTAACAAAACAGGTTTGTTACATGTTTTACAATTTATATAATTCAAGGTTCTGTTCATGCATTTGATTTAAATCTCTGGAGACATTGTAAACATATAAAAAAACATTTTTTAAACATTACCTTAGCTGCATATATATTAAAATAAAAGGAAAATATATATAGTTGTGTCTCTAAAAATGTTTTTCTGTTAGAAAAAACCATTGAAAGGCTACCTGAGAATAAGCTACTGGCTAAAGGAGAAGTCTTTGGATATCTTCGTTGTAGAAAATTTCCACTTTTTTGTTTAATTTTTTTAAAATGATATTTTTGCAGGCTGCTGCAATGTTGACTTTGTGATGCATAATTTTTTTTCACAAGTGTTTACCCTGCATACAAAAAAAGTAACAAAAAATAGCACCGCTTGTCTGTAGGTATAGAACTGTCGCAGTTCTATACCTACAAACAAGCCAGAAAATTTTTTAGTTTTTTAAAAATTTTCTAAAATTGCATTATTTAGCATCAGTGATGTACAATAAAAAAAGGTTTAAAATCAGTCAAAAAACATCTGCAAAAATGGATTATTAAAATAGTAATAACTAAAAAATATTAAAAATTATTACTAAACAAAGTTTCAAAGTTTTCTTTTTTTACTTACAAAGTTATGGTACATCAAAATAAAATAAAATCTGCTGTTAGCACCAGATATTAAAATTTTTCCAATTTTTTTAAATTTTTTTGATTCATTCAAAAATTTTTAAAGGATTGAATAATTGAATTTTTGAAAGGATTGATCAATTGAACTTATAATTTTTCTCATAAAATTTGTAAGTGGTCAAAATTTGAAGCAAATCTGAGGATGTACTTTGGGACACTTTTGTAAAACTAGGTGATTTTGTATGAAATAATCTATATGGTTTCCATGAAATGTGAAGGATAATTTGAGAAGACATAAAATAGAGGATTCAGTAAGGATAATGAGAAAGAGGTTGGTCAATATATCAGAAACAACATCGAAAAGAGAGGAATCTTGAGAGATTGATAAAGAACAAAAAGAAAAGTGATTAAGTGAGGAGGTGCAAAGCAAAACCATATTTAAAAATATTCAGATGATTCAAACCTGTTTTCGTGACAATTGATTTGATAAGTAGGTATATACTTAGGCCAAGCCTGTGGCTATTGGAGTCTGTGAATAAAGACTTCAATTGCTATCAGATAAAGGTCATCAACCTTAAGATCTGAAAATGAAATAGCTGAATTTAAATTGGTCTCAAAAAGTACAAGTAAGTCTGGTGAATATTTCAAAATGTAAAATTCAACAAATAAAAAGGTACTTCGAAGACCATAAATATTTATAAGGTATTGGTTAAATCCCTATAATTTTTATACCTTCTGCAATGTAGCCAGATAACATCAGTTATCATCTCTAGTTTTATTTAAAGATTTTTATTTTACTATGTTCTAATCACCGTTACTTTTTCGAATTATATATTGTCATTAAATTTTCGATGCTCAACAGAAATTTATTTGGATTAAAAGAAAATGTTTCATCTTTACTGAATATAAATATATCCTCAAAGATCTACTTACAATCTCATTAAACTGTATTCAAAAACTATGGCTCTTGGCTCCTCACCATGACAAATGTTTTTCTTAGACACAACAAAACTTTTCAGTGTTTTGTTTTTATGTGCTGCAATGAATGTTTGTTCTGATATAACAATGAGCAGGATTTTCATGTGCTGCTTTGAATGTTTGTTTTGACATAAAAATGAGCAGTGTTTTGTTTTTATGTGCTGCTATGAGTGTTTGTTCTGATATAACAATGAGCAGGATTTTTATGTGCTGCTATGAATGTTTGTTTTGACATAACAATGAGCAGTGTTTTGTTTTTATGTGCTGCTATGAATGTTTGTTCTGATATAACAATGAGCAGGATTTTTATGTGCTGCTATGAATGTTTGTTTTGACATAACAATGAGCAGTGTTTTGTTTTTACGTGCTGCTATGAGTGTTTGTTCTAATATAACAATGAGCAGGATTTTTATGTGCTGCTATGAATGTTTGTTTTGACATAACAATGAGCAGGATTTTTATGTGCTGCTATGAATGTTTGTTTTGACATAACAATGAGCAGTGTTTTGTTTTTACGTGCTGCTATGAGTGTTTGTTCTGATATAACAATGAGCAGAGTTTTTTGCTTATCAAGATACTCTTTGAAATGGAATCTGATTATGTATTTTTATTTTAGCAAAATCTTCTTTGCAAATACATCATTAACATGGTTTTACATAAATAGGGTTGAGCTTTTACTGTAAAAATGGTAAATGCATGATAAACATTATTGACCTGTAACTTACACTGTATTACATTAATTAAAGTTAAACTTTCAATTTTAGATAATATAAAAAATAGTAAAAAACAAAAAGCTATTAATGTGTAAGTTACAGTTAAAGTTATTTATAACCATTTCGATGCTTATTGTGCATTTACCGTTTTTACTGTAAAAGCACAAGCCATTTTGGAGGTTTTCACACAATAATGAGCTTTCTAGATGCTGTTGGGAAACTTATGAAAGGAACTGGTTTAGAAGAACTTTTTGCTCAAGTATACGTAGAAAGCAGTGTAGACCATATAATATCTGGAAAAGCTTTCCAGATTTTATATGTCAATAGCTTTGTGAGGTCACCTATTAACAGACTCATGCTTGACATGCTTGACTTTTTTAGGAAATTGAATATGTCAAGAGCTTTGCGAGCTCACCTATTAACAGACTCATGCTTGACATATATACTTTTTTAGGAAATTGAATGTCAAGAGTTTTGCGAGCTCACCAATTAACAGGCTCATGGTTGACATACTTTTTAGGAAATTCGGAGATCAAAGTACAAATAGATCGCTAATCAAAGAATTTTTAAAATATAGAGATGATAAGACTATTCCAATGGTAGAAATCAACAATTTTTGTGAAT